TAAGGTTATCAATTATCTTGTTCAGTTGAATGATTTCTTTATTTTGTTTATGGATCTGAGCCTCATGGGTCTTAATGAGCATTTTATGTTTTTTCTTTACATCTTCTAAATATTTTTGGGATCTTGTTAGACTGACTCCCAATTAGAACTTTAAGCATTTTTTGCTTTTTCCTTAAATATTGTACTGAGAGATTTAAAGATGAATTTTGCTCTACTAAAACTCTATTTCTTTGTTGCTTTATTTGAATAGTAGTCAAAAGTCTTTTTACCCTTTCATAGGCCTTTTAATGGCTTCTTTTTTACTTTTAAGTCTTTTGTTTTTTATTGCAAGGTTCTCATTCACCTTTCCCTTTAAAGAGCAGTTAAGGCAATCCTTTCTTAAGCTTTAAATATCAGGGACAATGGTGGATGGACCTGGGTCACTGATGGACCTGGGCCACTGGTGGATGGATTTGTTCCAGGTTCTTAAGTCTTAACCTTCAGAATATGTTCCTCTAAGTTAGCTTTTGGAACACTAAAAAAATTAAAATTTTGACAAAAGTTTCACTGTCATTCCAATTCTCTGTTTTGTGTTTATTAAATTTGCATACTTATGATACAAATATCTCATTTTTAATCCTAACATATGAGTATTACTTTTGGAGTGGGTAGTTTTTTAATTTCTAAAAGTATTGCCTTAGCAGTGTTGTGAAATTTTTTTTTATTTGCATTAAGCCTGTTAATGGTGTGGCCATTGGTAAAAACAAGGTCATTGCCAAGATTGCTTAAAAGATCATTTAGATCACTAATTGTCTTCTTGATTGCTTCTGCCATTCTGGAATTTCATTTTTAAAAATCAAGTTAATCAATTAGTTAAATAATTATAGCAACAATAAAAAATGAAATTCTCTGCCTTTAGAAAATGGATTAATAACCTGTCATACAGTTACAGCCTACAGATTATTAAGTTATATAAAACTATTACACAGTCTAGTTAATGAATCAATCAACTGAGTTTTTGAATTAGCTGTCTCTATCAATTACTCAATCCCATGATTGTCCAAATGACGGAACTGTTAGTACTAAAAGTATTATAAAGAATAGGACCTTCACCTAGGCTTTAAATTGTAAAGTATAAAGCCCTAATACTAAAAAATTATAAATTATTACTAACTATGACTAACTATATTTTGCAAGTAATGCACACATTTATATATTAAATATATATAATATAGTACTATACTACGGCCCCTGGCAACAGTTGCACACTACGCTGCCAGCCGCTGCTAGTCCATGTGTCACTCTGCCACTTATTCACTTCATAACTTAGCCACCATATAACCCAAATATATTCAATATGTTTATTTAAGGCTATTTATTAAGTTTTTGCGGTTATTTCTAATTGAAACTCTTAATATTTGTATTGTAATGTTGAAACAAAAACAACATATGCAACCCAAAACTAAAATGCGTCTTCCGCCATTAAAAAACCTAATGGCGTGGTCACATTCTTATCGAAATTGGGCAAGGTGACCAAGTGACAATACATGTTATTTGGACGAGCATAACAAACGTTGGACATCTTGTGACCCCATTCCACTGCTCGCGTCATGCGCAATGAATAGATAGTTTATCTAAGGCTAAGGCAATGTATCTCATTATTACTAAAATACTGTTTAGGATCGACTTATTTTAAAATTTCAACTTTGGCACATGAATAATTAATTAAAGCTTTCCCTGACCAATGGTTTAATAGTTTTTGCACATGGCAAACTCTTATGAATGAAACTCTAAGATAATATAGGCAGCCATTATGATTTATGCAAGTTGATGTGAATGGTTGCCTAGACAACGTGTTGCACACGGAAAATTCTGATCATTTATAATATGGACTCTATAATTCTGTAAAAAAATTAGCTCTATTCAACTATGCCATGGTTTCTTTTTATAAAATGTTTAAATTTTGTACCAAAGTACCTAACTAGATACTTTGGTCAAAAATGTAAACATTTTTTTAAAAATAAACCAATGGCACAGTTGAATAGAGCTAATTTTAAACAGAATTATAACACCAAAATCATATTTTTAGCTGTTGTAGTTTTAAAGTTATGAATTTTTAAAGTACGACTTGGTTTGTCCTTTTTTAACATGGACTGCATCTCCACATTCTGTGACCTCATTCCGCCGATCGCGTCATGCGCAATGACTATATAGTTTATATAAGGCTAAGGCATTCCCTTATCACTAAAATACTGTTTAGGGTCGATTTATTTTAAACTTTCAACTTTGGCACATGAATAATTAATTAAAGCTTTCCCTGACCAATGGTTTAATAGTTTTTGCACACGGCAAACACTTATGAATGAAACTCTGAG